TATAGTCATATTCGATTATGCCTCACGCATAAATTATCACAATATGAAATACATTTTCCAAAGTTGTAGGCTTTATACATTTTTTTATAGAACAAGAGCAAACGGGCAATGCCAGTGTGAGGGCTTGCGAGTGCATCGCCGGTATTTTATACTTGGAAAAAATACGTCCTTGTTTGTATTGAATATTTTAAATCTTTAATAAAATCGAAACATATACTGATTGAGATCTGGGACGCAAATTAATACTGTTACTGGAATTTCATTAACGCTTTATGGAATTTTACTTAATAATAATTGGATATGACATCGATTTTAGCGTGACATTTACATGTGTACTTTACGAGCAAAGGCTCATTTTTTTCACTTACCATCTACTTTATAACCGTGGCGAGAACCTAAATAGTTGGAGTTACGCCCTGAGAGTATAGCCAGACGCAGGCATTCTCGTCAGCATTTATATTACAGTATTCGTTTACAATTAAATTACTTTGTTTAACGCGAATTATACATATTATGTATATTATATTTTCACATTATTTAAAACATCCCCCACTGACCCAGGAACCATACATGTACCATTTACGAGTGTATTCGTAAATGACTTCTTCTGTGCCAAATAAATACATGTTCATATTCGGATATGAGATATTTCTGCGTCTTTGTTTATGTTGTACAAATATTTTTTTTAGTTTAGTAATGTTTGACTAACATCTGTTTAAAGACACGAACGCCTTTTCAACCTAAAACAATTATTTTTTCATCGGTTTAATAAAATGAGGGACGCGATATGCGTCAAGCTTAGTGGTCATACATCTTTATATAGATACTAGCTGCCCCCGCGAACTTCGTTTCTCCTTAATGCCTAGCCTATCTTTTTAGTACATATCTACCAACATGGAACATTTTGCTATGCTTCCCCAGAGATTATTCGGTTTTCCGGAATGAAAACTTTTTCGGTTTTTCTGTAATTTTTCTCTATATAAACCTCAGAGTTCAAGTCGTAAAATTTTAGTTAACAAATAAAAAATAAGGGTTGTATCATGTATGTATTTTTGTTCTATCTTAAAAAAATAAAAACAAAAAATTTAAATAGTGAAATTATGGTTCAATAACTAAAGTATTTAAGCCTATAGCATACATTTATCCCTTTTTACGCAAACGTAACCCTTGCCACTAAACGATGAAAGTAATTTCCGACAAAAAAGCTGAAAATATCTTAACAGCCAAGTTGCAACACAAACTTTGACGCTAACGTACATCGAAGCTGATTACAATCCGTAAAATGCGACACCAGCTTTATCTAAAGCGGAAAAATAACGTCCATTTTCTATTTTCTCGTTACGAGAAAGATATGTGTTACTTTTGTTGATTTTTACGGCGTACTGGAATTTTAAGCTGTAAATCTTATTTCTTTGGATATGTTCGATTTTATAGCTGTTTTTCATGAAAATTAACGATAGCTCTTTCAATTGAAGCACTATTCGATCTACTATTTGTCTGCAATTTGTAAGAAATAGACGAATCATAATAATAACATATAAACAGTGTAAATAAATGTTTGTGTTATTGAATAATATGTATAAATATATTGTTTTGAGAGTTCATTCTGTGGTTTTAAACCATTTCATTGGCTTTATTGCTAAGCAGTAGGTATACGTTTGTCCCTGCAGTAGGATCGATTTAATATACGTTCCTCGCGGAGCTCCTCCTTTTCTTTCAATGATCAATCTGTTCTGTGTACATACTTTTTATTATTTAAAGCAACTTCAATGGGTTTTGCATGGTTGTCTATTATTGCAGTACCATCAGTAATGTATATGTATATGAGGTACATGTTCGGCCTTAATAAACATCCTGGTGGTACACCCGCAATGATTTCCATCAGTTATGAGTATGAATCATCGTAGCTCACCCTGAATATTTGGTTTTTTATGAAAAGCTTGTTGACTAGAAAATATATAGTTGCACAATTTTTTTCACTTCAAGAGCCTGCTTTGGTGTTAGTAAACATATGAACTTGAACAATAGTCGAGTGCTTTTCTTTAAATCCAAATACATGTTTAGGTATAAGCTTTATATCTTCTAATATTGGCTTGAGCCTATTTAGTTAGAATCTTTCTAATAACTTGGACAAAATAGGAGATAGAGATAGGTCTATTAGAACTAGTTTCATGTGGTGGTTTCTCTGGATTAGGAATCATTAAGACATCTGCTAATTTCCAGAATCCTGTAACATATCTTAGCCTTCACTATATTTGTTAATATTACAATTCCCTTTCAAGCCATGTATCTTAAGACATATCCTGTTATTAAATCATAAGCTGGGTATTTTTTGAAATTCAAGTTTTTATGGACTTCAGTATATATTCCACAATATATTAAGAGTTTTATCTCCATCTCATCTTGTTCATTGTTATTTCAACTGTCACTAAAATGGTTTGTTAAGAAAAAAACAATTTTCTTTGCTACATTTTCAAGGAAATGCATGGACAATTGCATGGTATTTTCAATGGCTTTGTGGTTTTCCAAGGTGAAGGCTGTTTATTTTTATTACTTGAAATATTTTCTATTAAGTTTCTATTGTCTATTGCATTGTCTTAACACAATATGAAATCGCTTGTTAGCGATAAAGCCGCCCGTTGCCTTATAACTTTTGTAACCTGTTTTTTTATTTTTGTTATGTGTATGTTTTTGATTAAGGCAATAAAGTATAAATAAATAAATAAATCTGATTTTATATCTCTATTAAGTTTTTTTGTTAAATGGTTAATTATCCATACATCTTCAGTTTTACGCTAATGAGACACAAATATATTTGTTTACATTTCACTATACATGCAAAATCTAGTAAAACTTAATCCCAAAATAATTAATTTAAACTTAATTAATTTGAAGCATAAAATACACAACACAGTTAACTTATGGAACCAAATTCCGTTGGGCAATTTTCTTAATTGATTATAATTCTAATATTGCGTCAATTTCAATGCTCAATTATACTCAATTATGTTAAGACCAACAAGTAACTTGAATAGACAATGCTAATTGGTTTAACGCAACCTGATAGAGTAAGATTCAGAGACAAGACTTAGCGGTAAGAATTACTTCCGTATGTCAAAAACGTAGTGAGCATTCGAAATTAATTTCGACTCGAATCTTACCCAAAGAGTTATTTTGGTTTCTAAAGTGTGTCACAAAACATTTTGAATGAATGTAACGCAAACATTTATAAGCAACCCAAAAAAACGCAACGCTTTTTCTCCTTCCGAGGCCCTTACGAGGCACTTCCTTAAAAACAAAATCATCACTAACATTTCAAAACTCACATTACATACACTTACTAAAAATCTCGAACAATATCTTGTCAACCTAAAACAGAACATATAATTGTTGTGCAAAAATAGTTTAAATATTAATTTGTGTTACGTAGAAATCATAAATTTAAATACTGTTTACATGTCAAAAGGAAGAGACTGGCTGCCCACAACACAGGGAATCCTAGTGTGGGGGCCAGTGCACTTTACTTTACCTAAATATCCTGTATATTGTGTATAATAAAGTTTTTCTTTCTTTCTTAATACCTTTTGATGTCGTGCATATACAACTTTTTAAATAAAATTAGTATATTTTATTTCGTGGTAAAGCGTAGTAATGTACAAGTAAAGATAAATTGAGAATACATTTTGGCAGCTGGCATTTCAATTTTGCGGGGAGAATCAATCTGTGGTGAGTTACCACATACAAGGAATTTGAAACTGAATGATGAATTCTATGTTTACTAAGAGAAGTTCGTATTAATTAAAATTATTGGTTGATCATGAATTATTTTAATATCATTTGTAATTTTTTAACAAGATTTTAATAACCATTTCAGATTATTTATTAGTGACTATAAGACCTATACAATTTGTTATTTAAAATTCTATTAAGCATTAGTTTTGAAAATTAAAATTTATCATTTCACGAACCGATCACTACACACACACCTACTCGTATAAGGCAAGATGACATCGCAACGCTCAAAATCAATGTTCGACGAAATAAAACCTTATTTTGTGTCTTGTAACTGACGTATTATTGCTAAAATTACATAAAACTATACAAATGTTGGTGCACATTTGAATTTATAAAATACAAGAGAAAATAATTTTAGTTAAAAATTATGATTTCCAATAAAATATACGTAAGTTCGCAAAAAATTACGAAGATCGTACTTTAATGCTAAGGTTGACGAGGGTGCTTCAAGTTTTATTTTGCCCTCGTCGCCTGTCTTCGCAGATAATGAAGCAAAAATTATATTCAAAGTATTCTTTTGAGATTGTTATAATACCTAAAAAAATAGGTTTTAAAACGGCCGTGCAAAAATTGTTTACAAACCTAGACCTCTAAATCGATTATCATGAATTCGTTATAAGAAAAATGGGATACAATATTAAATTTTATTTAAAAACTACTATACTAAATAAAGACTAAGTCAGTATTAGTCAAGCAAATACAATATAAGCATCATTACTCTATTGACGATAATTAAAAATAAAGCTGCAAAAACCTCTCATCAGAACATTATCTACTTTTTTAGTTTAGCGAATACTTAAAAATAAATAATATGATATGGATAATTTTAGGAACGAAAAGACCATATTTATAAATAATGATTTTATTGTTTGTTCGCGATCGCGTACGAAATAAGGCCATTCGTGAAAAGACCGGCTTGAGGGACGTAGTAAGGGAAGGCCACATAGTGCGCATGGTCAAGAACCGATGGACCCGCAGGCATGGTGACATCGACAGAACAAAAGACCGCGCGGCTGCCCACCGACTAGGTGGACGGATGACATCGTCAATGAGATTGGCTCCCAGTGGATGCAGAAAGGTCAGTGCAGAGCGTACTGGAGGAAGGTGGAGGTGGCCTACGTCCAGAAATAGACCAAAGAAATATACTGATGATGGATGATAATGATGAAGATTTTATTCGATAAATAAAAATACATATAAGATGTTCAAAGTAACCCTAAAGTTCGTGCCTTATCCAGCCAATCAGATCGTGACACGTAGCTGCCACAGAGTATACGCTTTCCGGTGAATGCAGTCCGTCCATGAAGTACTCTAAAGTTATCGAATGCTAATAATGTTCCTGTAAAAAGAAATTTAAATGTAGCCAGTAATATAAGTTATGAAGATCGAATGGCAATGCCATAGAACATCATTTTGGCCTAAATGTCAGTGATCTTATGAAATAAAATGACAAGAATTCTCACAAGTCGCAACTTACTACCATAAAATTAAAGAAAACTGAATCAGTCTTACATAGTTTAAGCAAACATGTTTGTTTATAAAATATCTTTATATGCAAAAGTATAAAAGTAGCTTTGTCCAAGACGTGTAGTTTTGTAGCGAAATAGTTCATACACAATAAATTGTAAAATAACTCAATAAGAAACATTGCGGAGATGAAATACCAAAAAAACTAAATGAAAAAAAAACAAGCAATCGTGTATGGAGCAACGTATTTTTACATTTCACTGATTATGTTATAGGCTATGAATGAATAAAGAAAATGAATTATCCAGCCAAAATTAATACCTGGTATAAGTTTAATTTGCCATTGGTTTTTGGGATCTTCGAAGTATCTCGCCAGATTCCTAAGAGCACGGTAGTATGTTCTGCACTCTTGAGAATTTTTGAATGTCATCGGAGACCGATCATAGGAATTAAATCTATAAAAATATATTAATTTAAAAAAAATCTTTGTAATTGCCAGACAAAGGGGTCGACGAAAATCATATTTATTATATTCTATTAAATAGGTCTAATTTGTATTATATACCATAATTGATAGGAATAGACGGAAATAAATTATAAATCTAGGGTCCAAATTTAATTAATCACACACACAGCGAAGTTCGTTACCGGGATATATTATTATTGATGTGAGAGAAATAGGCGAGCAGGCCGTGATAGGATTTTTTAACCCAACAAATTTTCTTATTAAGAAAACTTATGAGTGCACTTTTGAACGTGAAATGAAATATAAAGATTCTAGATTCTAGTTGCCCTTTCCAAAAGGTAGTTTCGTGTGGAGAAGAATGGACAAGAAACTCCACACTTTTACACTTACCTGATATGTTTTATATTATTAAATTTATCCAACTGAATTACTGGTGCGGAATGCTTTTGGAAACGTCCATCGCCAATATACTGCGCCTCGACTTCGAATTTAGTGAGAAACTCGAAATCTTCCGGGTGTTCTTCTTTCAGTTTCATAGCGGCGTAAAACCCATCTATGAAGACATTTTCACCACCTGTACCGTTTGTATGTTCTGTGCAATGGAATATTTGCAGCCTGAAAATTTAAAGACTAATAGATGCTTGAAAACATTTCTGCATAAGATTAAAGGTTTTTCTGGTACAACAACCCGAAACAATTGCTACGTTAATAAAAGAAAAATAGTAACTAAATGAAATAAATGTCGCTGCAAATTAGAAATTTCATTGTTAAAATCGTGAAATAGAATAAATAATATAAAGACGTTACGAAAAGTAATTGTGAGTATTAAGCGTTTATTCTATTACGTTTTCTCTTTAGAATTGAAGCTTCTTTTATAGGGCTATCAACACCGATTCGGTATTAACTTTGCCTGAACCAATTTCATTAAAGTCTAATAAGCGAGACAAAATCTAATATCATTCATTTTCACGGTTCAATGCTAAAGGTTTTACCCTAAGAGCCGACGGAAATAAGCGGAAGGTCGGGCTTCGGACTGAGGTTAGAACCAGGTACTTGATAATCTTTTTGGGTTTATTGAAAATTATTGCGGTGTAAAATTTATTTTGGGATTTAATTAGTATGTGTAATTAACGAATCCAAATCCTATTTGTTGTTTGTACATAGATTTATTAAATTAAGTTAAATAATGTGTTATCTTAAATTATCAATTATTGTTTTTAAACTTTTGTAATGTATTATTTGTATAGGGGGCAAACGGGTAGGAAGCTGGAGTAGAAGGAACTGATGTTAAGTGACATATGGACACTCATAGTGCCAGAAGGCTCCCAAGTGCGTTTATGAATTTGTCCTCTCTATTCTTAAAAGACCCTGAGTCGTATCGGTTCTGTTTTTTTTTAATAAAACGTGAATAACTTAATGAACTGAAAAAAAATTGTTTATTTACTCAATCACCAATTCATTAAACTAGCCACCAGTCACCAGCCGTGTCCATTAAGAGTTTATATTTGTGGACTTGATCTTTTTATTATTTAAGTTCAAGATAGTTGATAGTTTATTTAAGTTCACCATAGATATAATCGACAGCTAAAATAGTTCTTTATTCAGTTCTTAAATCAGTCGCCAACTTATTCGTCATTAAAATTTCGTAGCCGAGTGGCATTCTAAATAACAATTAATCTAGTCTATCTAATCTAATCATCAAAGATAATTTAGATAATGGAGTCGGAGACTGAGTACAGCCGTTGAGAATAAACAAAAACATCACTTTCACAACAGGGCTAATAAATATTTTAATAAGAGCATGAAGTGTACTCTAAATTCAAGAGGAACAATGAACAAGAGATTTTTGAGGTTACCCCTAGCGTGAAAAGTTAAGGGCGCATCTCTGGTTCAACATTACTTCCGCTCTACCGTACTTTACGAACCCTAACCGTAAGAAACCGTCCGTGAACGAATTGCTAAACAGATTTTGGAAACACCAGTATAAGAATTATAGTTCGAAGATATCTTTGACTTACGAGTTATAGTTTTACATATTTTGTGTTGAGAATTTGTAACATTATTTACTATGTATTAGAGACTCGTATTGTATATCCGTTAAACAACTTTTATTTAAGTAGTTTGAAGATTCTGACGGCCTGCTAAGTTAATTTATTGGGTTATATTTTTATTTAGTAGTTAACTAATTTTTAGTATAGTCATTGGCAGTTTTTAGTTACTTTAGCCTAGGGTGGGGTGTCAAGGGAAGGGTGTCAAAACTATTTGACACCCTTCAAATATACGTAAAACTTCCTAAAACGCTTTTTCCTGGTTTGCACCAGTATTACCTTTTAATTCTAATAATATTGGTCAAAATGGTGGTCCTATCGACGTAATAATAATATGATCTAGAAGCGACCGAATTCCCAACTAACACATAATTAACAACCTCAATGGAAAATTGGGTACAGCACTTTACAGGTATAAAATCAACCATTCGCATTCTTTTCTATACGTATCTCAATAAACTCTATTTGTTTCGGTCTTACATATATAATCAGCAAAGTTTTAATTCTAGTATTGTATATCATATACATTAGTAAATAATAATTACCCAGCTGGTTCCGTGAAATATGTATTATCGGTATGTTGTTTTAAGGTGATGTTCGTATAAGCTGTGTCAGCATGTTCTGGATTTGTGCTCACCTTCCACATCCCTCCAAACATAGTATGCTGTACACCACCCAGAGCTTGGCAGATTACCTCAGTCGCTTCCATTGTTGGCTCTACCTAAATGAGATAATGCCACGAGGGTGTAAAATAGTGTTTATGTACAGTATAAATTAATATTTATTATTTATGTTATACCTAATAAGATAAATCATTAAATTTAAGTAAAGCAGATAAATGGCGCCTAAGCCCAAGACACGCGTGTGCCAAACCGAACGAACGCTGCCACGGATAAGTTAAAATATTTAAAAAAAGAAAATTCTAATATCAAAGATGAGAAATGGATATATTAACTTCTTATAGAGTACCCTTATTATTCAAAAAAAACAAATGAGAGTAATTGTATTTTAACTACAGTACGCTTTTGTCTCTTCATGCCAGATTATATATAGATCTTTATGCCACATATTCACTGAAATTTAATTTAAGAAGTGCAATTAAACCTTTTTTATGAATAAGGGACTTGGACCTATATTGTAAAGAAAATGTGTTTGTTGTAATGTATTTATATAGTCTCATTAAATTATGTGCGATGTTTTAAAGTTAGTTGACCTTGAATTTTACGATACAATACATATAAGAATCATCATGTATTTTTTTAGCTCGAACACACAATTTCTATGATATATGTATACGACTATAGTATATAGCAAATTCTAGTTACATTAATAACTTTATGACAACAGCCCTGCGATTCAATCTAATTCTGTTAAACAATAAACTACAAGCTCCCACCTTTTTAGAATGCCAAATCATAAAATGACTGCTTCACGACTGATTTGAGAGCGACCGCCGATGCGAAAACCGCTGTGTGAGTTCGAAAAGTGAGTTACAGAATCGCAAGGCTGATAACGTATATAAAACTTGTACATGTTCCTATGTAATACATGTAAAAACTGTCAAACAAAGTGTAAGTGTCAGTTATGACCTCCTTTTATCTGATCTCGTATGGTAATTGTTGTGTTCAAACGTCCAAATTCTATAACAACCAAATTACAAATCACACAGAATACAAAAAGTAAAACCTTTGTTTTCTACCTTCATACATAATTAAAAACAATGCATTACCTGTTCAATCACAGCAATTCCATAATCGAGTAGAGATTGGAAGACTTTCTTCTCTCCTTCTATGTTATTAACGAATTCTTTGTCAGACATCCTCGCAATTTTAGTGGCCACGGAATCGCCACACCACAAAACTGGTGGCCATTTTGGCTGTTTCCAATTTTCATAGCCATAACGTTCTAAGAAATTAACATTGTAAGTGGATTTGTGACCATCGTTCCCTGGAAATGTAATTTAATCACTTAATTTGATTGATTAATTTATGTTATAAGGTACCGGTGAGCCTTACAATGTAATTTAAAAACGGAAATAATGGAAGGTAAGAATTAAAAAAAATTTGAAGCATTTTTTTTAAATTCTTACCCCAAATATCGCTTTCCCTGGGGAACAATGTCGTAAAGCACTATCACGACTGTTTTAATGTTTTCTCATTTTTACTTCCTTGGAATTTAAATCATATGCTGTAAAGGGCCATAAAGATCTATATTAAATCAACAATGTATTTAAGGTATTTAATTGGATAAGGATTAATGCTGTATTGGTTAAAATCGTTTCGAAAATTAGCCATTATTTGTCGTAAAAAGTAAAAATGTTATTGTGGGATATCCATAAGAGTGTGACATATCCATCGCGGAGTTTTCTGTAGACCTTTTCGATGTGTACAATACTTAGTACATTATTTTGATAAATCTCGTAGGGTTCGCAATGTAAGCGGAAAAATGTACATAGCATTAGAAACCTCAGAAATAACAGTATTTCTCCATCCATATTTAATAGATGTTATTATACATATAAACCTTCCTCTTCAATCACTCTATCTATTTAAAAAACCGCATCAAACTCCGATGCGTAGTTTTAAAGATTTAAGCATAGGTACAGAGAAAGCGACTTTGTTTTATACTATGTAGTAATACGTTTTAAACATTCGTCAAAATGTGCGGTTATTGTGTCGTCCGTAATTATGTTTAAACAGAGAAAATCGTGAGCGCTTTTGCTCTTCAGTCTAATTAGATGAATAATTACTTTAATGTACATTTAGTTATTTTTCACTATACACACTAAATACATAACAACATTCGTCGAATAGAAAAAATAGCTTTCATTAGATATATAATGTATATATATGACCTTTGTTCCCAGGTCAAGCGAGTATATTATGTAAAAGTGGTGTTCGCCAGGTGTTCGAAATAGATCTCTCATCTCAGCCTTGCAATTCTGTAACTCACTTTTCGAACTGTCACTGCGGTTTTAGCATTCTGATAAACAATAAACTACAAGCTTCCTCCTTATCAGAATGCTAAATCGTAAAATGACTGCTTCACGACTGATTTGAGCGCGACCGCCGCTGCGAAAACCGCAGTGACAGTTTGAAAAGTGACTGTAACTCACTTCACTCTCAGTTCAAAAGAAGCGTCAGCTACGCGCAAGACGCGCATACCCATATATTTTGCGATCAATTTTTATTTATAAAACCTATACTGGTTATTGTCAAAAACGAATGGTTTCAAAACCGATGTTAGTGGATACGTTGCCGGCGTTTGACGGAGGACGCTCTTAATATTTTAAGAAAGTACTTACATTTTATTTCAACGTTTGTATCGTTTGTTTTAACGCTTTGTATCATAACTTCGGGTATATCCAAAATATGATGAGCCCTTTGGTTTGTAGATGAATGATAACATTCTGGGCATCTGTAATTTATTAAAACAAGTTAATTTAATTTATTAAAATTTTGATGTATAAAAAATATTTTTGTCAAACAAGTTTCATTTCTTAACATATATATTTATCCCAGTGGAAACTAAACAAAAATCATCGATTTTTTATCGGTACACACAATTATTACTTGCGATTCTCCGTAATATAACTGTATATTAACAAATGTAAAATTTAATTCAAACTTATATACTCGCGTTAGTAAAATAAAATATGTTCCTCATTTTACGTTTTTCAAATAAATAAAAAATACACCTGCAATGATCACGTAGCCAACAATCTTCGAAGGTCAAAACTGAGTCATTATGAAGGCGTAGCTTTAGCGTCGTCCTATCTACAGTAGCGCCTTTTATCACTGGAATTTAAATAAATACAAAAACTTTATTTAACTTTCTCTATTTCCCGTTTTTGTTGGTTGTTTAAGCTGAAATTCAAGGATCAAAAGCTTGTATCCCGAATTGTATCTTAGTTATCATTTTAGACAATTGTTATGTACTCTTTTGATTGCTGTGTATATTTTCTTTTATAGGTACTTATTATTATGCCAAGGCAAAGGCCACACAGGAAAAATGAAAAGAAACAAGTTATACAAACTAGAACTAATGTATGGCCTCGATAATAGGTGCGAACGGCGGTCACATTATGTTATGTTAATTACTAATAATTAAACTTGATCCCTCCAATACGTAACATATTATATAGCCTCGTTCTATAAATTACCTTTTTATAATGTCAAATATAATTAAAGGTTATTTTTTATCTTAACCTTAAATACAAAAGGTCCTGTAATCGAAACTGTATCGGGAACGGTTTAAGAAGTTAATAGCAATTTGTTGTCGAGTCACGCGCCATTAGCATTGAGTAACAGTTTTGGAAACAACAACTTCGACTTAATGCCCTCTAATCGATATCATGAGCCAATGCCTTTTCCAGTAAAGGATCTTTAATTAAACATATTTGTAAAGTAGTTTGTACACTATAATTAAATATGCGTTGGAAAGAATAATTTTTAAATACCGTACCAACTGCCATATCTACTATGAAAATACTTCTGATTTTAAGAGACGGGTAATTATATAGAAATGACGTCATTTCAACCAAATAAAAAGTTATAATACCATTCATACAACAGCTGTAAAGTACTACATTTTTCAAAGTAATACTAGGTAATGAACAAATACAGAACACACGCACACATTCACAAGTCGTATCTAATAAAATAAAACACTTAATGTCCAACAATAATAAACGAGCAAATTATGTTTAAAATTAAAATCATGATAACGCCATTTCTAATGATCATCTAATGACAATCCATTGTAATTGTTTAAAAAAAACTTACATGTCATTACTGTTGCTTACAGGCAACAAGGCTAACCGAAGACTGACGCAAATTATATTTGTTTGTCACACGGGTTAACGACATGTCAACGGTCAAAAAATTATCTTAACAAAACAATAATAACATAATGTCATCCTTTGTTACAAGATAAAATTTTATGACAAAAGAACAACAAAAAACAAACTTGATTCAACAAATCCTAGATAATAATTAACCTGCAACATCACGCTATCGCTTAGGCGAGTTTTAAATTTGCAAATCCAAACAAAACAAGTTCTAGAATCATTATCGTCAAAATATAATACCCTATACGTTAACATGTTTAAATGTAGCACACTATCTTTACTAAGCATATACAGTAGAATATAATGATAAATGTCAAACGTCATAAAAAACAAAAGAGCGGGAGTGTGTCAGTGAGACATTGTTTATTTATACGTGGTACTATAGTGCGTTTCACGAGATAGTTCCCTTCGTCGTTACACCAAAATACCAAACAGTAAACACGGTTTGTCGAGTACCATATTTTTTTCCGAAGTTTTGAGAGTTTCGTGCGTTTAATCATGCCAAAACACTAAAAAGTGGTGAAAGGATCTTGAAGGTGAAATCGTTTTGTGAAAAAGAAAAATCAAACAAAGGGCCAATAATTCCATATGAATTAGTTCGTCTTCCGGTTGCCGCCATGACAGGTAAGCAAAATAGGATTGCCAGCCTCGAATAAAAAACACATAAAATTCCCGACAATATCATACTACCTAAATTCACAAGAATTAAAAATTTAAAGTTTTGTTTTTCACATTGCATTCAAAATACAGGTTTTGTACTTATTATTTTTGTATCTTTTGTCTTCAGGTATATCCGAAAAAACTGTAACCAACATTTCCAAAGAAGGAGAAGTGGCTGCTAGTACGTCAACCAAAATTTCAAAAAAGAAAATAGAAGATAAATATCACAATGATGGCATACCTGTAGACAGTGAAATTGATAATTTTTTAATTGAATTAGGAGATGATGATAGCGACACATCTGATGATACGGATGAAAGCCATGATTCAGATGTATGTCCTTTAGATGATCACACGTATAGTAAAAGAATAAATTTATGACGAAATAAATTTGCTTTTTTATTTCATGATTTATGTTTTCTCCAACCCCGTTACTCTTTGTAGAGTTCCATAACTATGGCATTATGGCTGAAGGATTATTATGAAACGTGGGTAGTTTTATCCAGTTTCCCATCCCACGGAGCGCGAATAAACATGTATCTTTAAACCAAATGTTTGCCTCATAATGAAGATAGTTTACCCCAGATTTTGGTGATTTGATTTCTTCAAACCGTAGCAACACTGATTTTAGTTCTACCAACCTAACGGCGAAGAGAACTATCTCGTGAAACTCACTATAACGTAACTTTAACAGAGTCTGGGTAATGAAAGAAGATAACGAAAAAGCGCGGCAAATTAAAAAAAAATAGTATGGTATCCCTAAAAGTTTGATAAATTTTGTGGATTCAACTTACTTGAAACTTGATTTTATTTTATTATTTTTTACATTGATAGTAACTGTATTTCTATGAAATTAAATACTATTCGTATTGAGTCTTTTACTATTGATACTTAAAATGACTAGCATTGCATGAAAAACTAAAACTATATTTATTATAAAACACAACTTTATTCGGAATAATCAATATTTGAATCCAAAAAATCAATAAAACAAAGTTTAGGCTATTCTAACTGTTAACTATTCGGAAAAAATATATAATAGAAATAAAAATGAGTAATTGCATGAAGTATCAAGGCAATAAATCATACTAACCTAAGAAATTCAATGACATTCTGTGTTGCCATCCGAAAGTTTTCAAATAATTCAATTATCTTGTTTCATTAGCCAGACTCTAGTAAAGAGTATTTGTCGGTTGTTCCATAGGTAATTTTAATTTCAAATGAAGCTTTTGACAAAGCGAAGGTGATTTTTTAGTGACATAATAAACAAATTCGTCAAATATTCGTCGAAATAAAGAATTTCTGCCCGATAATTGATAATAATCAACTGTGATTATAAGCAATAGCATATTATATATATCATAATTACAAGTTCAGATTATCGTACTTCACTGTGGAAGCTTTTCAGAGTTTGAAACGAAACCCACATAAAGTTTATTCGTGCATTATGCATGCAGATTACAGGTCGTACCAGGTGCTGGGAACGTGTTTCAAGTATAAAGGAAATCTAGACTGAATAACCTTAAAAAAACAGCCTAAGCAATTTCTATAGCCTAACATTTAAATTGCTAAACCGAATTCAATGAATTCTAGTATAGAGCACCTCAACTTAGAAAATATCACGTCTTTCTTTACCTACTTACGAACAGTTGCGTAGTTAAAGCGAAACAGCATACAATATTTCAGAGCGAACGTATGTAAATAGAATTAAATGTGTATTTAAACAAATTTAATATAAAAAAAGGACGAAGAACAACATATTACAAATTCAGACAAGATTTAAAATATAAATTTCGTATATTCTAAGTTCGATAGACATGAATATAATAAATCATACTGAACGAAGATTGAGTGTCAGCCATTTTCGCTATAATTTTATTACATAACTTTATGACGGTATTAAAGGCAGAGCTTATCACATAATATAAGGTCGTGGTCTTGTCCTTTTAAGATTTGCAATAAAATATAGCACGATAACTTATCATATGTCCATCGCCTGACGTTGAACCCTTTATTACAAAGTTCCGTTATCAAATCCAATCCAAAAATCCAATTGAGTATTAATGTGATTCCTATTATATCCAAAAGCTCTGAGTTCCAATTAGGAATAGCAAAGTACTTAATATTTTAATCGGAATCCCTACTTAAGGTACATGATATATGTAAAATTATAAGAGACAATTCTCTTTTTTCAAAAGCAATACTACTTTTTACTTTCGTTTTTATTCATAAAATTCATAAAGTACTGGATGCTCTAAAGTATGTATCACTCGTTTAGTTATTTGGTATGTTAAATGTCACTGTGTAACAATAGTCAAAGTTAATAACAATTAAAGTTTTGAATTTAAATTGCACTCCGTAATTCACTATCTCTTTGATACTCAATATAATGATTGGTAATGTTACGAAAGAAAAGCTGTACTGTACGGCGAATAATCGAATATTAAAATCCGGTTGACGATCCGTTGTACTTGGCGTCAGCCTACACAATTGTTTAATACCATTATTAAGATTTTATAATCTGAGACACATTTTTATTAGTCTTTAACTTGTATAGTACATATTTAAATTAATTATACGGCCATGTGTAACGACTTTATTACATTAAAATACATATATAAGAGCGTATTCAGAAGGGGGTCATGATCTCCCTACGACTGGGCCTAAGGGGCTCGTTAAATCAGGCAGAATACAAAATACTATCCGTATCACCTTGACGTCCGTCGTTCTACAACTGAGCGTTTCTTAAGGCAATTTCTGTCGCGCACCTCTATGTGGAACCAGTTGCCCACTGAAGTGTTTCCGAACCAATTCGACTTAGGGTCCTTCAAAAAGGGAGTTGCCGGCAGCCCGCTTGCGGGCCTTCTGGCAGTGCGAGTGTCCATGGGCGGCGGTGTCACTTAACATCAGGTGAGCCTCCTGTCCGTCTGCCTCCTGTAACTTAAACAAAAAGAAACTGTATAAAAACGATCCAACTTTACAAGTACTTTAAGATCTTGTGTATACGCTTCTTCCAAAGAGAATTTTAAACCCCATCCATTATACGTTAAATACCAAATCTCTTAAAGATCGTAAATTTATTACTATTTCAATACCTATTTCCAAGTATCTAAATCACGGTGGTAAATTTTCCGTTGATTTATTACTTTGGAAATATTTTTAAAAAAGGAACAATATTCTAATACTGACCTACTGAACTGTATATGTTTTGCTTCATATGTTTACAGGAAGTATACAAATAGAAATTATCATAATATTTACCTCGATATTGGCCTGCAATAATAATATTTGCTCTTGGCATTAATGTCAATCTTCAAGTAAGATCAATGTTACATCACGGCCAAAAGGGGCCGGACTCGAGGTACTTTGTTACATCTGGGTACAAAACTTTATTAATAGCAGTTACCGGAATAAAACGTCACTTTATTCAAATAATTCATTTTATTAGACTTTAAATGTAATGGAATCTTTTTGAAAGTTATATTCGTGATTTATATTGATATTATAAATGGGAAAAAATGTTATAAAAGTTTTATAGTGTTTTGAACAAATATTTTTGCAATAATATATATGTTCTATTATGTAAACATAACATACATAAACAATTGAAAAATGTAGAATTGCACAGAAAATATTTGAATAATCTACAGTCATTAAGTAAACAGCTTAAACCTATACTCGTAGTGATAAAATATTCGATTTTCAACAAATTTTCAATATGTTCGCAATCGCGATAAAACTATCACGGCTTAAAAGCAAAAATCTACAACGTAGGTTCCAAAGGGTGACCTACTTAAAAAAAATGTGTTTATTCATTTGCCAACAATTCATAATAATGTGTAAGATTTGGGAACCCTTTTAAGTAAAAAAATACCTGTGACAGGGTTCCCAGCTTTTCTAAACAAAACCCACTTGCCATATCATTTAAGGAATTGACTTTGACTAATAATGTAAAATATAAAATTCCTTTAGACAAATTTGCGCGCCATTGTGTGTGGCAGAATATACGAACTTACGATTGTACCACCTTACACATTTTTGTACCATAATTGCAATAAATAAATTATTATTTAAAAAAACAGAATTGTGAGACCGCGACTCCTAAAGCAGATACTAGATACTCACCTAACAGGTTACAGGATGAACTTCAAGAATAAAATGTGTATGTTAATGTTATACATCGCTTAAAGTTTTTAATTGTCTCACAAGAACAAGCAAAAGCAATTTATTGTTATCGTGTCTTGAAATATAGCAAAAGTTGTCTTTAGAATAAAGTTCCGAACGCATTTATCTTACACAATTCGCGGGAGGAAGCTAATTACTTTTACAAAGTCATTTTACAGCGAAATCTGTTAAACC